ACAAGCGGACAGCAGACCTTACAAGCCTTAAAGAGTTACCCTCGCCCGAGGACATTTTTTCTATTTTTTGTTCAGATAGAGTGTCGGAGGGGGAGAGAGAGAGAGAGAGAGAGAGAGAGAGAGAGAGAGAGAGAGAGAGAGAAACATCGACGTGAAAGGGACACATGGAGTGGTTGCCACCCACACGACCCAACCAGGACTGGGGACAAACTGCAACTGAGGTACATGCCCTTAGTGGGAACCGAACCCAGGTCTCTCAGGACCGCAGGCTGACGCTCTAACCGCTGAGCCAAACCGGCCAGGGCAAGAGTTACCCTTTAAAATGGGCAATTTTGAATGTTGCTGCAGCATGGGAAGAAGTGAAAGTGCAAACATTGGGAAATGGTTTGAAGAATTTGCTTGACGACAAAGGTGCAGACTTGGATTTAGAAAAGCTAGAGGTCACTAATCATTGTAGGACTATACAGAACACAGTGGAGAAGAAGGAGCTGAGGAAGATGTTTTACTGTGGTTAGAAGATGGCGGTGACCCTCGGTATCATCATGACTGGAAGTGAAACAGCAGATGAAGTTATGACTTTGGAAGATGAGGATGGGAGTGAAGAGAACGAGGAAGAAGAAACAACACGCCCAACAATGAAGTTATCAGTGATTAGATCTCATCTCCACAATCTACTAACATTTATTGACAATTCTTCAGATAACAAAATTCAACTTTATTGCACCCATTTTTGTAATTTTAGAGAGTTAATGAGTTTTTTAAAAAGTAGCAGATTTCAAAAGTTCAAACAAAACTTGATGGTTTTTTCAAAGCAGGAATACCTACAGCAAGTGCCCGGACGTCAAACATGATAGAAAATTTTTTGTGTTTTTATAAAATTAAAAATTTTTAAGAACATTGTTTATTTGTTTAGTTAAATATGATAAAAGTGTATTTTCAAAAAATGTTTATTTTGATTTAGATCACATACTGGTTTATTACAGTCTTAAACTATGGTGGGTACATAGGCAATACATATAGAAATATTGTCTGTGAAATTAAGCTTTTCGTACATACTTAAAATTACACAAATGTGTTTATATAAGTAAAAACAGGTAAACTAACTAATTTGTCGATGTTTTAACATACACATTCGGAAAACCTACCTTATTATATAGCAGACTTTCAGCTTTAACAGACACCCCCTCGCCCACATCAGTCTGTTATATCTAGTTTGATTGTGTTAACACTGAACTCTGGGTTTCTGTAACTGAGGGGACCGGGCAGTAGCCGTATGTTAGGAAGAATGGGGCAGCTTGGAGCAATTTCCCCTGCAGCTGCTGGGCTCTATCCATGACCTAAGAGTGCTGGGCTCTGCCCCGTGACCTTTCAAATGCTTCACCGTTTCAATCCATCTTGTACTGCAGTCTGACTATAGGTCCTCACATGAGTATCATTCGTCATAAATTGGTCTAGGTGTCATTCAGATTTTACTGATACTTTAGAGTAGAAATGACCAGACCATTTATCAAGTCTAATCTTGGTGATATATTCTTTAAACAGTGCTAACATTCTAAGACTGGGCTTTTTTTCTTTTGGTCTGTTTTATCACACTTTCTTATATATATAACATCATATTATACAAGGTCATTTTACTACATGATTTATGTGATGAAATTTTATAGTAGACTTTTTCCCCACCTACAATTTAGATTATACAACTTCAAATAATATGTTTTATTTTTCAAAGAAGCAGGTGCTACACCAATTATATTTTTATATATAGTCTTAGTTGGGGATATATAAATGTGAATGAAAATATTAAAAAAATTCAATTACATTGAAAATCAACAACCATTTACTGAGAAATATTTTATGAAACCATTTAGGAGACATCTATTTTATTATATGCAAATAAGTTCTAAAGAGTATTTACTTTGAGGCTAAAGAGTAATGATATTTCCATTTCAATGATAGAGAAACCACTACTCTTATTTGAAGATAATACATATTAGTTTGTAGACTTTATGTCTGCCCACAAGTACATTACCATTATCACATTACTAAAACATCACTGACTCTGGTCACATTAGAAGGTAATTGGCATGCATTTAAATCTAATTATGGCCCAGCCAGTGTGGCTCAGTGGTTGAGCATTGACCCATGCACCAAGAGGTCACTGGTTCAATTCCCAGTCAGGTAACATTCCCAGGTTGTGGGTCAAATCCCCAGTGGCAGCCATGCAGGAGGCAGCCAATTGATGTTCTCTCTCATCGATGTTTTTATCCCCCCTCCCTCTCCTTTTCTCTCTCTCTCTCTCTCTAATATCAATAAAGAAAAAAATTTTTTTAATTTAATTATGGAGTTATATTTTCTTATAAATAGTCCCACTGACACTCTTAGGATAATTCCAGTTCTTAGAGGAAGAAGAATTGAAGCTGTGTTAAAATAAAATAAAAATTGCAAAAAAATACATTGTAGTTTCTACCTTGTTTTAGAAAGGGTGTGTGTTTATAGACAGTAAGATGTGTTGACTCTTTTTTTTCAGTCATATCACTTTATTTATATACAAATTAAGAGGTAAAATAATTATACAAAGTGTATGGCCCCATTTTTTAATTATTCTACCAGCCTACCTATAGAAATAAGCCTTTTTCTAAATTTTTACTTATTGATTTGAGAGAAAGAGAGCAAGAGACATCAATTTGTTATTCCACCTATTTATACATTTATTAGTTAAATCTTTATTATATTTTATTTTATTTTTTATTGATTGATTTTTTAGAGATAGAGAGGAAGAGGAAGAGAGAGAGAAATACCGATTTGTTGTTCCATTTATTTGTGCATTCATTGGGTGCTACTTGTATGTGCCCTGACTGGAGGTCGAACCTGAAACCTTGGTGTATCGGGACGGTACTCTAACCAACTGAGCTACTCGGCCAGGGCCTAATGATATATGAAGCTGACCCCAGATTCCTCATAACAAAGCACTACTCATGTTTCAAACAATGCTATATAAACCACAGACAGTAAATCTACTTAGTGTGTAACTATACTTAGCATATCCCTACTTGTCGTGATGATTTACTTAAGATGTATTTTGCAAGTCAGGAGAAGCAAGGGAGAAAGAAAAGGATACGGGGAATACAAGTATCACACAAATTATTGTGTTTATTTTTTTCCCTCCCCACACCAAACAGAAAATGTTGTCTATATTTCAGGCAAACCAGACATTGTATTTCAAAATTTGATTGGCACAGTTAGTTTATTGTGGAAACTCCAATGCTTAGAATAGTCTTACTTTACATGATGGTCATCATCATTATTGAAGTTTGCTTAAGTGGTATTTTGAAAAGTGTGTCATACCCGGCTGGTGTGGCTCAGTGGTTGAGCGTCAACCTCTGCACCAAGAGGTCGCCAGTTTGATTCCTGGTCAGGGCACATGCCCAGGTTGTGGGCCAAATCCCCAGTGGGGGCATGCAGGAGGTGGCCAATTGATGTCCTCTCTCATCAATGTTTCTATCTCTCCCTCTCCCTTCCTCTCTTTCTAAAAATATAGAAAGAAAAATATATATGTAAAATAAATAAATACTAGAAAGTGTGTCATGTATGAGGATCTGTTCTCATCTGAATATAATTTCCATGAATTGTAATGTAGATTTCATGAAACATTGACCATCACTTTTGTGTTCCTTTATTTCAGTTGATTATAGTTTTTGTGCTGATCATGCTACCAAATCTGGTTTGTTATTTTGAATTTTCATTTTTTACTAATTTCAATCTCTTTTACTTATTTGCCACAAACTTTTATTTCTTGAATGAGAATGTGTGCATTTGTTTTATATATAGATATATAGATATATATAGAATATATATATATATATATTTTTTATCCTCACCCGAGGACATTTTTGCATTTATCTTCAGATAGAGCAGAAGGGGGAAGGGGGAGAGAGAGAGAAACATCAATATGAGAGAGACACATTGAGTGGTTGCCACCCACACGACCCCAACTGGGGCCGGGGACAAACTGCAACTGAAGTACATGCCCTTAGTGGAAACCGAACCAGGGACTCTCTGGTCCGCAGGTCGACGCTCTAACCACTGAGCCAAACTAGCCAAGGCTATGTCTTCATATTTAAACAAAACTACTGGAGAAGCAGTAAATGCAATGGCAAAGCTAATACAGGTAGTATTGTTGTGGAGAAAATGCGAGGGTGTTATGAACTGTTAAGTCAGGAGAGACTGCTGGCAAGTCCTCTGCTCCAGCTCATGATTGCTCAACTTGGTGTCTGGGAAATGTTCACCAGGTTTTTAATGGCAAGTATCACAACTAGTACAAAAATAAATTCAAAAATAAACATTTAAATTGTTTTCAGTATTCCCTAAAGAGGAAAGTCTGTACAATGTAAAAACGTTTGCTGAGCTCCTTTTGGGACCAAGAGGGAGAGAAATAAATTATTTGCAAACTGCAGCTGCAGACTCTAAGTCTGGGATGGGACCTAAGCCATGGGCAGACCCTAAGACATATCTTGGGGTGCATATTTGGAATTGCTTTAATAATCATATTTTTATAGGAACCTACTGAAATTGTGATATCCTTGGAAAAGCAAGAGAGGGATTTTCACTATGTTTTCTTTATCCTCACCCAAGGATATGTTTTAATTGATTTGAGAGAGAAAGGAAGACAGAGAGAGAGAGAGAGAGAGAAACATCAATGTGAAAGAGAGACATTGCTTCACGTATGCGCCCCAACTGGGGATAGAACTCACAACCTGTGTATGTGCCCTGACCAGTAGTTAAACCTGCAACCTTTTGGTGCATCTGACAATGCTCCACCAACTGACCCACCCAACTGGGGTGTGCCTATTTTTGTGTGTGTGTGCACTTCAAACATCTGCACGAATTCACCAACAAAGATCAAAACCTACTTGTGCTGTAGTATGTAGTCTAACTGCGTATTCTGTTTCATGTGCTTTATTTTACTTTTGTAAAATGATGCATCTTTGTTTTTTGTTTAGGGCCTGAAGGGGCTCTTTTTGAGCATTCAGTGGAGACTCCCCTTGTAAGTGCCAACCCATTTCAGGAGCTGAGGTAAAAATTTTGTTCAAATATAAACATACTTTCTTATAGAAGATAACCTGGATGGGTGCTAGAGTGGTATTTTAGCAGTTGTTACCAGATCACCTTTTTTTTGTTGAAAGCTGTCTCCCCTATTCCCCCCCGCAATGACCCACACCTCCCTGCTCCTGTGCCCCCCCCCACCTTTACCATACCTTAACTTGTGTGACTTTTTCCTTCACCATGTTAGAGAGTTTTTTGTGTCATTATTTTTTTCAAAAAGTTCTCTATTCCTTACTCAGATTCTTCTCTTTTTGATACCTCTGTGATGTGGGTGTTGTTATATTTCATATTGTCCCAAAGCTCCCTTAAACAATACTCCTGTTTTTTTGTTGTTTTTTTCCTTTTTTAAGTATTTATTTATTTATTTATTTATTTATTTATTTATTTATTTATTTATTTATTTTTTTTACTGATTAATTTTTGTTACAAATGATTCTCCTTTTTTCCCCCAGTGGTTCCCCCCTCCCCCTTCCCTCCCCGCCCCTTCCCCCGATTGTTGTCCATGTCCACTGTTCATGCCTATATGCATATAAATTCTGTTGTTCATCCCTCTCTCAGCTCCCCACTCCTTAGGGGATTGTCCTCAAACTGTTATGTTCATTATATTCCAGAAATCAGTGAGATCATATGAAATTTGTCTTTCTCTGCTTGGCTTGTTTCACTCAGGATGATACTTTCCAGGTCCCTCCATGTAGTCTCAAAGGACAAGAGATCTTTCTTTCTTACCGCTGCGTAGTACTCCATTGTGTATATGTACCACAGCTTTTTAATCCATTCGTCTACTGATGGGCACTTGGGCTGTTTCCAGATCTTAGCGATTGTAAATAGTGCTGCTACAAAGATGGGGGTACATATATTCTTTCTGATTGGTGTTTCAGGCTTCTTAGGGTATATTCCTAGAAGTGGGATCACTGGGTCAAATGGGAGTTCAATTTTTAATTTTTTGAGGTGACACCATATTGTTTTCCATAGTGGCTGCACCAGTCTGCATTCCCACCAACAGTGTACTAGAGTCCCCTTTTCTCCACACCCTCGCCAACACTTGTTGTTTGATGATTTGTTGATGGCGGCCATTCTGACCGGTGTGAGGTGATACCTCATTGTTGTTTTGATTTGCATCTCTCTGATGATTAGTGATGATGAACATTTCTTCATATGTCTCTTAGCCATTTGTATGTCCTGTTTGGAGAGGTGTCTATTTAGTTCCTCTGCCCATTTTTTAATTGGATTCTTTGTCTTCCTTTTGTGGAGTTGTGTGAGCACTCTATATGTATTGGAAATTAACCCCTTATCTGATATATCATTGGCAATTATGCTCTCCCATACAGTGGGTAGCCTTTCCGTTTTGATGATTGTATCTTTCGCTGTGCAGAAGCTTTTGAGTTTGATGTAGTCCCATGTGTTCATTTTCTCCTTTGTTTCTATTGCCTTAGGTGATGTGTCAGTAAAAATTCTGCTGCGTATGATGTCTGAGATTTTGTTGCCCACAGTCTCCTCTAGGATTTTTATGGATTCATGGGTTACATTTAAGTCTTTTATCCATTTTGAGTTTATTTTGGTGTAGGGTGTAAGTTGATGGTCTAGTTTCATTTTTCGGCAAGTAGCTGTCCAATTTTCCCAGCACCATTTATTAAAGAGGCTGTCCTTACTCCACTGTATGCTCTTGCCACCTTTGTCAAATATTAATTGAGCATATTGCCTAGGGTCCATTTCTGGGTTCTCTATTCTGTTCCACTGGTCTATATACCTGTTCTTGTGCCAGTACCAGGCTGTTTTGAATATGGTGGCTTTGTAGTATAACCTGAAATCTGGTATTGTGATCCCTCCAACTTTGTTCTTCCTTTTCAAGATTGCTGTAGCTATTCGAGGCCTTTTTTGGTTCCATATGAACTTTTGAAGTAATTGTTCTAATTCTTTGAAGTATGCCGTTGGTATTTTGATGGGGATTGCGTTGAATCTATAGATTGCTTTGGGTAATATGGACATTTTAATGATGTTAATTCTCCCAATCCATGAACAGGGTATGTTCTTCCACTTTTTTACATCTTGCTCTATTTCATTTTTCAAAGATCTGTAGTTTTCTGCGAATAGGTCCTTTATCTCTTTGGTTAAGTTTATTCCTAGGTATCTTAATTTTTTTGCCGCAATGGTAAATGGGATTGTTTGCCTAGTTTCTCTTTCTGTGAGTTCATCATTGGTGTATAAGAATGCCATCGATTTCTTGACGTTAATTTTGTATCCTGCTACTTTGCCAAATTCATTTATTAAGTCTAGTAAGCTTTTGGTGGAGTCTTTGGGATTTTCTATGTACAGTATCATGTCATCTGCAAATAATGACACTTTCACTTCCTCCTTTCCAATTTGGATCCCTTTTATTTTTTCTTCCTGTCTGATTGCTGTGGCTAAGACTTCCAGTACTATGTTAAATAGGAGTGGCGAAAGTGGGCATCCTTGCCTTGTTCCTGTTCTTAAGGGAAATGCTTTTAGTTTTTGCCCATTGAGTATGATGTTGGCTGTAGGTCTTTCATATATGGCCTTTATTATGTCTAGGTATGATCCCTCAATTCCCACACTGGTGAGCGTTTTTATCAGAAATGGATGCTGGATTTTGTCAAAGGCTTTTTCAGCATCTATTGATATGATCATGTGGTTTTTATTCTTCAATTTATTTATGTGGTGTATCACATTTATGGATTTGCGAATATTGTACCAGCCTTGCATCCCTGGGATGAATCCCACCTGGTCATGGTGGATAATTTTTCTGGTGTATTGCTGGATTCGATTTGCTAGTATTTTGTTCAGGATTTTGGCATCTATGTTCATCAGGGATATTGGCCTGTAGTTTTCTTTCTTTGTTGTGTCTTTTTCTGGTTTTGGAATTAGAGTTATGCTGGCTTCATAAAACGAGTTTGGCAGTCTTCCTTCTTCTTGAATTTTTTGAAATAGTTTGAGGAGAATGGGTATTAGTTCTTCTTTGAATGTTCGGTAAAACTCCCCTGTGAAGCCATCTGGGCCTGGGCTTTTGTTTGCTGGAAGAGTCTTGATTACATCTTCAATTTCCTCTGTTGTTATTGGTCTGTTCAAGTTTTCAATCTCTATCTGATCCAATTTTGGGAGGCTATGTGTTTCTAAAAATTTGTCCATTTCGCTTAGATTTTCGAATTTGTTGCCGTATAATTTTTCATAGTAGTTGTTAACGATCTTTTGTATTTCTGTAGGGTCAGTTGTTATCTCTCCTGTTTCATTTCTGATTTTATGTATTTGGGTTCTCTCTCTTTGTTTCTTGGTGAGTCTAGCTAAGGGTCCATCAATCTTGTTTATCTTTTCAAAAAACCAGCTCTTTGTTTTATTGATCCTCTGGATTGTTTTTTTGGTCTCTATGTCGTTTATTTCTGCTCTGATCCTTACTATTTCTTTTCTTCTGCTTGCTCTGGGGTTTTCTTTTTGTTTACTCTCTAGTTCTTTAAGTTGTGAGGTTAGGTAGTCTATTAGAGATTTTTCTTCTTTTTTGAGGTAGGCCTGTAGTGCTATAAACTTCCCTCTCAGAACTGCTTTTGCTGCATCCCATAGATTTTGTATTGTTGTGTCCTCATTTTCATTGGTTTCCAGGAAGTTTTTGATTTCTTCCTTGATTTCCTCGGTGACCCATTCATTGTTTAATAACATTCTATTTAGCTTCCATGTGTTAAAATGTCTTTGTATGTTCTTCTTGCAATTGATTTCTAGTTTCATACCATTGTGGTCTGAGAAGATGCTTGTTATAATTTCAATCTTCTTGAACTTGTAGAGACTTAGTTTGTGCCTTAACATGTGGTCTATCTTTGAGAATGTTCCATGTGCACTTGAGAAGAATGTGAATTCTGTAGTTTTGGGGTGTAGTTCTCTGTAGATATCTATTAAATCCATTTGGTCTAGTGCTTCATTTAGAGTCTCTGTTTCCTTGCTAATTTTTTGTCTAGAGGATCTATCCAGTGATGTGAGCGGGGTGTTGAAGTCCCCTGTTATGATTGTATTGCTATCGATTTCTCCTTTGAAGTCCTCCAGAAGATTTTTAATATATTTTGGTGCTCCTATATTGGGTGCATATATGTTTATCAATGTTATATCTTCCTGTTGGATAGATCCTTTCAATATTATGTAGTGGGCTTCTTTGTCTCTAGTTATGGCCTTCAATCTGAAGTCTATTTTATCAGATATCAGTATTGCTACCCCAGCTTTTTTTTCTTTTCCATTTGCTTGAAAGATTTTTTTCCATCCCTTCACTTTCAATCTGTGTGAGTCTTTTGTTGTGAGGTGGGTTTCTTGTAAACAGCATATAGATGAGTCTTGCTTTCTTATCCAATCAGCTACTCTGTGTCTTTTTATGGGAGCATTCAGTCCATTTACATTTAAGGTGGTTATTGATATGTACTTATTTATTGCCATTTTTGTTTAGTGTGGTTCTATTTTTCTTCCCATTTCTCCTGGTAATTACAGCAGTCCTTTTAACATTTCTTGCAGTGCTGGTTTGGTGCTAATGTACTCCCTTAGCCTTATTTTGTCTGGGAAGCTCTTTATTTGACCTTCTATTTTGAACGATAGCCTTGCTGGGTAGAGTAGTCTTGGATTCAGATCCTTGTTTTTCATGACCTTGATTACTTCATGCCATTCCCTTCGAGCCTGTAATGTTTCTTGTGAGAAGTCAGCTGAGAGCCTTATGGGGGTTCCTTTGTAGGTAACCTGTTGCTTATCTCTTGCTGCTTTTAGGATTCTCTCTTTGTCTTGAATTTTTGGCAGTTTGATTACTATGTGTCTTGGTGTGGGCCTGTTTGGGTTCTTCTTACTTGGGGCTCTCTGAGCTTCTTGAACTTGAATGCCTTCTTCCTTCACCAAATTAGGGAAGTTTTCTGTCACTATTTCTTTGAATATATTCTCTAGCCCTCGCTTACTTTCTTCTTCTTCAGGGACTCCTATGATACGAATATTATTAC